CATTACTTTTTGTAATGATCTAATGATGGGTCTTGCATTTATTCAAGGAGTTGTTACTAAATGTACTAGTATTCATTTCTTTCTCTAGGTTTTTGCATTTCGTTTTATCCATTTTTTTTTCAGTTTTTCAATGTCATTGTATTGATTAATATTATAATTAAACTAATGCTTCTCTATATGTTATGTAATCTATTTTGGAATTTTCTTGATCCACTTATTATTATTTTTTCTTTTTTCATGTTTGTACTAGTTTAAATCTTGCATTTTGTCTTCTAATTTTTCTGATTATGTTTAATTATTTTTAATTGTATTCTAAATCTAAATCAAAATCAACAATTAAATTTAACCACACATTTTATAGGACCCACCATTTTTTAACCACATATTTCATCAACTTTTAGCAAAATTTGTTAAAAAATTGATTTTAATTTCAATCAAACAAGGGCTTAATATTCATAGACGCCTCGTGTTTAAAGTTTGCATGAGGCCCTTAAAATATAAAGGCCGACCTTGTTGCAAAGACACGTTATTTGCAAACTTATTTGCTCGTACATGACATGAATATGATTTTATCCCTACCTTGTAGTTGAACAATGAGAAGTATCTCACAAGAGAGAGAAGGAAATTGTACGGTGAGATGACAATTCTTATTCATGGATAAAAGGAAAGATCTGAATGGACATCATGGTATTGTTTGTACCAGTTCTCGTCTCTATTCATTGCTATTAATTTTGCTATTTTTTTTCATATTTTAATTGCAGTTAAACTCTTCATTGTAGCAATTATTTTCTTAAATTTTTTCGTCGAACTCTTAACTCCAACCTTCCATTAATTAGTACGTCACATCGTTGATAATGATTCATATCAAATATTTTATTTTCACACTTTGAAATGTATAAATATTTCTTTTGCACTTTTTATTTATTGTTTTTAAAAAAATATGATGAAAAAATAAGTTGTTTTATGTCATTTCAACGAACTTTTAAACATAAAACCGTTATAGATATTTTTATATGTGGATTTTCTCTTTCAGTCATTTTTACTTATATTTGTTTCTAGTAATAATGAATTACCTAACAATTGAATCATCATAACTATGTTCATGAAAAAAAAAATCAACAAAATAAGAAAGAAAACGAATATAGTTCTTGTTTGGTAGTGTGCTTATAAGTTGTGAACCTTACGAGTGTGTTCATAATAAGAAGATAGTATTTTACGAATACTTTCAAAATGTATAGATAAAAGTATATTTAATTAACTTAAATTATATAATTTAAGCTTCGGATCATAGTAACTTAGCATGAACTAGATGGGGCGTTGGGTTATTTCACATGCAGGAGAGAGTAGTTCTAGATTCACGGTCAAATCAGTAATTACACCTAAGGTGGCGTTCTTATAAGTTTCAAGTTTTACAAAGCCCCATTTGTTTCACATTATTTAAGCAAGAAAATGAAAATTTGTACCCTTTTTTTCAAACAAAGTGGGTCCCACTAACACACAAACTGGTCGAATATGACTGTTATTCTACTGTACCAACGGTCCATTTTTTTCTACTAATGCCCAACAAACAGGGACAAAGTATGTTGATAATAAGTGAGTAATAAATTATGAGTCCTTGAAATGTTCGAATAAAATATATGTTTAATCAACTTCGAGTATATAACCTAATGTTTGTCCAACATGCCCATAGCAACTTAGCATGAGCCAGGGGGTGTTTGGTCATATTTCATATTCAAGATAAAGTAGTTCTGGATCCATTACATGGTCATTTCAGTAATTACAATTAAGGTGGTTTGCTTATAAGTTTTGAGTTTTACAAAGCCCATGTTTGGAGTCCATTATTTTCAAAACACATTTTAAACTAATTTTTAATCACATATTCTTTCATAAAATAATATTACACGTAAATCTAAAATTTTTGTTTATCTTTTAATCACACATTCTCCAAAAAATAGATGTTCCAAAATACATTTTCTCCTAAAATCACATTAAGTCCCAGTTTGACAATTATTATTTGGGTAAAATGGAGTTTGAATAGTGATTTTTTGAAAAATGTGTAATTAAAAAATAGGAAAATGTTTTGAGTTTGCGTGTATAATATTTTATTGTGTGAATGTGTGGTTAAAAAGAGTATATAGAAAAAATAATTTTAAAATAATTATTGTCAAACATGAGCTAAAATGGAGCCAAATATGGGCAAAATATATTGATAATAAGTGAATAAAATAAATCCTTAAAATGTGTAGATAAAAAGTACGTTTAATCATTTTAATTTATATAATTTAAGCTTTGCCAAACATACTTATCGCAACTTAGAATATTTCCAATACATTCTCTGTATTTAAAGAGCTTATTTAATAATTTAGAAAGCGTTTACAAATTTAGAGAATGAAAAAAAATTAAGTACTCCAACACATAGTAATTACAATCGGATCGGTTGATTCAGCCCAAGAATTGGTGAATCGGACAGTGATTCAATCCCGTTGGCACTATTTGGTCCATTCAGAATGGAATCAGAGAAGAACTGCCCAAACCGATTTATATTTGTTCCAAATCGAGCGGGTTTAGTTGAACCATTATTAAATTGGTACATAAAAAAAATTTAATATTAAAGACTTGACCACTATGGTACTTGTAGAATGGTAGTAAATAATGTGAGCCAAATTTACATATTTAGTCCCTGGTTGGTAGGTATTAAAATAAGATTTTTAGTAAATTTTGATAAAAATTTATGAGATGTGTGGTTGAAAAGTTGTAGGTCCTATTAAATGTGTGGTTAAAATTAATTATGACTTTGATTTGAAATTTTAATTGAATTTTAATTAAAACCAAACAGAGGCTTAGTTTTACGAAATTGACATAAAATAACATTTATGTTGCCTTTTGTTTTAAAAATAGTTTTTAATTAAAATTAAGAATTAACAAAGATCCATCGATTGAACAGTTGACCCCGGTTGAACCATTGATCCAATGACCCGATGATTTTACGGGTTGATGATCTAGTCGGGTCAGACAACTATGCTCCAACATGTTTTTAATATTTAACACTTAATTTTACTACTCTCAAAAAAATATCTATTATTTTTCATTATCTTTTATTTTCCCTAGTTTTCCTTCAAATATTTATATTATTTTTCTTCATTGAAAATTGAAATACTTTGAGTACATTTAATTATGGAGAATGGGCCCCTCGCTATTTTAAAATGTTAATTTAAAAAGTCTATTGAATTATAATTTTAAGATAAAAAGTGAATTTGGAGAGTCAAACTCACTCAACATAATAAATACATTTAAAGTATTTCAATTTTGCAATGTAGAAAAATAATATAATAATTTACAGGGAAGTCAGTGGAAATAAATGATATGAAAAAATAATAAATATTTTTGTGAGTAGTAAAATCAAGTTTTAAATATAAATAGTTTGTTGGAATATTTGAAATTCTATACTCTCTAAATTTATAGATGTTCTCTAGGATTAATAGCAAAAAACACCCTGAAAACATTTTCATTTGCGATATACTCCCTACCTATTGAAAATCGCAACCCCCCATTTGAAACATTTTGTGCAAAAAACTCCCTTACCGTCAAATTTGCCGTTAAAACAGTAAAAATGTTAAAATTACAAGTTTAGTATCCAAATTTTTTATTCTATTACAAATTATACCTATTTTTTTTATGTACCACATACAATCCTAAACATTTAAAACTTTATTTTCCAACCTACCCTACATCGTGCTTTTTTTTTTTTTTTTTTTTCCTATTTTCCTCTTAATTTTATGGCAAGTTGATTCTCAAACTCAGGCTATAATGGTATTTTATGTATAAAAAATATCTCTGGCAAATGGAGTGCCACAATTGTTGACGAAGGTAGCTTCCCAAATACGTATGGTCCTTTTTCTCATTGTACATCTTTCTATTCACTTTTGCTTTTCCACATCACTTTTGTATTTAACTCCTCTTCAACACAATACCTAGAAATCTGTTGCAACATCTCCACTTCTTCTGCCACGTATTCCATTAGGACACTCACCACATCTGGCAGCTCCCAACTCTTCAACAGCTTCAAACAATAACAAGACCGGCAATCAAAATCTTTCCGACTTTAACGACTTGTTGGGTTTAGTTCTCTCACTTATCGCGTGCTTAATAAGCGTGTGTCAATATTTAGTTACGGTTTCTAAATTGTATGATTTTTGATTTTTCAATTTATATTTACCCAATAGTGAGAACAACAAATATTGTGTTTTTCTGTAACTTTATGATTTGATTAGGGACGAAATGATGAAATAAAAGGGTTGCTCACAAGGGTTTGGAGGGGAGAAAATGAGGAAGAAGACGGGCAACACATTTTCTACGAGTTGAGGAACAGTAGGTGCAAAAATGATGGTTTTGAAGGCAAAGTTATGTGCGAACGATTTCATTGTACAGAACACTAAAAATCTATCTCCAATTCATACTGAAATTGAAACTGTGAAACAATCATTATGCTTGTGATCAAAAAGTGAAAAAAAAAAAAGCAATTATTGGAATGGAAGAGTTTTAAAGTTGGAAATGAGAAATTTGGAGTAAGGAATTTAGGAGGATTTTGAAAGGAATTAATAAAGTTTTTGAGAAGAAGATAAAGTGTGGTGGGGTGAAAATTAAAGTTTTAAAGGTTTGGGATTGTGTGTGGTACATAAAAAAATTTGGGTATAATTTGTAAAAGAATAAAAAATTTGGATACTAAAATTGCAATTATTACTTTTAAATTTAGACATTTTTACTGTTTTTAACAGCAAATTTGACGATAGGGATGTTTTTCGCACAAAAGATTATAAATAGGAAGTTTTCTACGATTTTCAATAGATAGAGAGCATATCGCAAATAAGAACATTTACAGGGGAATTTTCTGATATTAATCCATCTTCTCTAAATTGCAAAATATCCTCGTTAACGATAAATAGTTTCTCTTGAAAATGCTCTTAGTTGGATGGGGTGTTTGGTCATTTCACATCCAGAAAATGCAAGTGAACGCGATCCCAGATCCAATACAAGGTCAATTTAGTAATTACAACTACAGTGGTGTAACTCTAGGTTTTTCTCACTCTCTTCACACGCGCACAGTAATTCCCATTTCGTCACATCATTCTGTGGAGGAGCTGGGAGCAGCACCGTATCCCAGGTACTCAAACCCTAGCCCTAGAACTACGACACATGCTCATACACAAAAAATGTTTGTATCTTCTCTTCACTTGTAACTCTCCGGGGTTATCTTTATGTGTTGTACTGAAATTTTCTATTTTCTGTTTCTTTTCCAATTTTTTTCGCTCTAGATTTTTGGGGGTATTAGGACAAATTGTAAACTGTAATTGCTTTATTAATAGGTTTTGATATTTTTTTAATTTCGATTAATTGATTTCTGTAAATATGTTTTTTCAGCCAGGGTTTAGGGTTTGGGTATGTGAATTTAATATCTTAAATTTCTGTTCAACATTTTTTGAGTAATCAATTGATCAAAATATATTTGTTTGTTTAGATTTTAGTACAATTATATGAGGTTGGTCCTCCGAGATTTGGAATAGAAGGATGTATTTTTGTGGGAAAAATCTTTCTTTTTCAGAAATTAACCAGTGAATTATGTTGAGAGTTGGAATGCAAGGATGTATTTTGTGGGAAACATCGTTCTTTTTCAGAAACTAGCCAGTGTATAATAGTGTATTGGTATTGTGTGGGATTTTAGTTCAGATCCATGAATTAAATGCACTTAGGTTTTTAGGCGATTATTACCACGAAGATATGCTGTTTGTGTTTTGGCAAAGCTGAAAGTTCTTTTGCTTATGTATTTTCTGATATTAGTTTCACTAATGAAATTTGGTAAATACTGTTGATGCAGCATCAGTTTGTTAAGTTGGAGTTTGAAGAAAATGGATAAGAAGAAGCCACTAGTGTTTTTCGATGTTTCAATTGATGGAGATCCTATTGAAAGGATGACTTTTGAGGTTTTATATTTTCTTTGACTTACATATTAGCCAATGTAAATTTATTTGTAATTCATTTTTAATGTCTTCAATAATTCAATCTTCTACATTCCCTTATGATCTGATATTTGTAACTATTAACGTTTGCTATTATGATGCAGCTTTTTACTGATGTTGCTCCAAAGACTGCAGAAAATTTTCGTGCACTTTGTACAGGTAACTTGCATTTTCTTGTAGTTCACACGAGAGTAGGTCTACACTAGCAAGCCTTTCCGGACAGGACAAGGAAATGATGAATTGATTTTTTTTTTGGGGTCTCTTTGTATATGTTACTTTGTTGCTATATCTTTTCTTTCCTCAATTTTTAAAATCTATCTCATTACATTTACGAGTTTATATCAACTCTTTGTTGAGGAAAAAGAAATTGACGCTCCTATTGGGATTGCAAAGTTCATAGTATGTGCAAATATGCACATTGTTTTGGGAATCTCCATCTCTTTCAACATCTTTTGTGGACTATTTTCTTCTAATAGGTGTATTTCTCTTAAACTAATTCCTATATGGATTTACTCTTTATTTCTTCAGGAGAGAAAGGTGATAGTCCTAAAGCTAAAAGGCCTCTGCACTATAAAGGAACCTTCTTCCATCGTATCATCAAGGGATCTGTGGCTCAGGTATGTTAGTTACATTTTATCGCATCATCTATTTTTCGATACGTGTGCTTGGCAAATTCATTCTGTGTTCTAGTTTTGCATGAATTAGAAGTGGTCTTTGTCTTTAGCAGCTATCCTTGTTTATGCTTTGAAATGGCTGATGGTCATGACTGCTTTTCTATTGATGTTACATTTTATCGCATCATCTATTTTTCGATACGTGTGCTTGGCAAATTCATTCTGTGTTCTAGTTTTGCATGAATTAGAAGTGGTCTTTGTCTTTAGCAGCTATCCTTGTTTATGGTTTGAAATGGCTGATGGTCACAACTGCTTTTCTATTGATGTAGTGTTAAGGTTGTATTTACTGAGTTTGCCATTCCTAAGACTCACTTTGGTGTACATAGTCCAACTATGCACAATTAATGGTCTCCTTGATGCCTAGTGGTTAATTTCTTTTTAACTTTGTTTTTGCAGGGTGGGGACTTGCTTCGGCGAAATGGTATGTCACTTCAGATAACTGTTTTCTTTTGATCTGCTTTTTCTGAAGATATATTTATAATAACTTTAGTACTAGAAGTGACCTATTTTATATGTATCTAGTTTTATGCTTTAAATCCTAGAATACATTCATTGCCTTTTTCTTGTTCTTAAGCAATGTCAGATCTCTATCCTATATCCATAGAAAGCCTGGCATTTCGTAAGATAGGTTGCTTTTGATTGTTGAATGAAGTAATATTTGTCCCTTTGAAGTCTGTACTTCATCTTGATCTCTGCTCCTACACAAAAATATGCAATCATGCCTGATGCCTGTTATATGTGTAAGAAATAGTCATTTCTTCATGGTGAATGCTAGCCACATACTATTATGGAGAATCTCAGTAGCGTGAATTATTTATTTGCCTAAACATTTGTCTTATTTTGATCCAAGTTGTTAGTGATTGGCTTGGCGTCTTCACTTTAGACTAAATGGTACTAGTACTGCACACTTCAGCTGATTAATGGTTAAAATGCCTTTTTGTGTAATGAAGTGGTGTTGCTCTTGTAGACGTGGATTCTCAAATGAATAACCCTTTCCCCTCTTCTAATCTAGTTAAGCTTGTGGTTCTGTGAATCAATTAGAAGGTATACCTAATGAAAAATGAGAGAGATAGGAGGGAAGAGAAGATAAGAGTAGAAGATTGAAGAAGTGGGAAAAATTGTAGGAGAATTTCAGTATCTTGTAATGATGTAAATAATGGACAAATCCTGCTCCCGTTATGACCACTTTGTTTTTCCATTCTTAATATAGAGAAAGATCCAATGCAATTAAACCCTATGAAACAACATCAAGAGATATGAATAAGTTTTGTCTAACCTCTTTGCATCACTCTTATGAACTCATGCCTCTTTAGGTTATATAAGACGTGACTAACTGGCTTAACCACCTAAGATATTTTTTCTTCAAATTATTTGAAGTGGTGTTGTCAGAACATGTTATAACATGGTCGGTATATTTCTCATTTTCTCTATTATAGTATGGTCTTGGATAATTCTGATGATAATTTTTTACAAAACTTTGAATGCTGATTGCATAAAACTAGTAAACTACTGAGTGAGTTGGTTAAAACTACCATAAGGCACAAATTTTGGAATTGCTAGGCATACCTAATTAAGCCCCTGTTCGGTTCAGCCAAAAAAACTAGATTAAAATCTAAGCCAAATTCAACATTTAATTTCATAAGATCCACAATTTTTCAACCACACGTTTCATCTTTTTTTTTTTCAAAATCTACTAAAAATCTGAATTTTATCTAAACCAAACAGGGGCTACATGCCTTCTTTAGTCTACTGTTATTAAAACAGGGTCTGCATATGATGAAGCTCATTCTTGATTACCAAACACTTGCTTTTACTTTTCAGGGAACTATGGGGAAAGTATATACGGTGGAAAGTTTCCAGGTATGAATATAATCTTATTCGTAATTTGTTTGCTGTGTACATGTTGGTCTTATATCTGCTGAGATCTATATGTGTGTCTTCCTTTCAAAATGTAAACCAATCAGTTAATAGAATCAAATGAAAACCAATTGTTCCTTTTCTGTTAAAATTGCTTCTCCTGAGAGCTAGAGCATTTTGTTTGTCATGATGTGAAGGTTGAAGCTTACTTTAGCCCCCATTTGGGCCACCTTATTTTCTCATTAAAATGAAAAATATGACCGTTATCTATCACATCATCATTTAAATTCAAATTTTCTATCTCTTGTGTGGACCCCAATAACGACTATATTTTTCATTCTCATTCTACAAAAAGGTGGCTCAAACAAGACCTTAATCATATTCTTGCTGAACTGGGGCTATAATCCAAATGGTATTGAAATAATTGTTCTCTTAAAATGGTTAACAATTTAAATATTTTGCCTGACTTTTTATGTGCTCATTTGGTTTTTAGATAATCATTGTTCTTCCCAGTTGCTTTTTGTTTCATGTTGCTGCAAGCATTTAACACTTGCCTATATGTATAATGTCATGATTATCACCTTCTTTGCCTTGTATTGTGTAGCATGTCTTCTTTTCTGGTTTTCCTATCAGACTGCCAGTGCCAATCTTATATTTTGAGAACGAGCATAATATTGCAAAGTTGTACGAACGTGAAGCAATTAGGTTTCTTTCTCATTAGAGAGCAGTTTTGGAATTCAAAGCAAACACCATGTAAATATGTGCTGTTCATGTGTTAGTAGTTTTATGACTTGTATTTTGTTCCTGTTTGATGTATCTTGAGCTGCTTTAAATTTTAATGTTCTAGTAGTTGGTGGCAGATATTGAATTTCTTTCTGTTTCAGATCATTGCATGTTCTGTATATCATAAAAAATGGTGGATTATATTTTGCTGCTTCAGGTTATTTGTTCAATAGTCTGTAAGTGATAGCGCATTGAGTATTTTCACATACATTTTGCTTGATTATTTGGAAATTGTTTAGTCTCAAAGTAATCTGATTATTGTCTGTCCTATAGCATTGGATTCGGTGGTTTTATTGTGTATTTGCCAGTTATCTTACATAATTCTAGTTAATAAAATGTTTCTTTTCTTTTTATTGGTGAATGCTACACTAGCCAAAACTGATTTCAGCAATTAACTCATTGCTGTGCCCAATGGCAACAGCTTCTTTGAGCTTTCCTTCATGCTTGGTAGAACTTGATTTTCTTCTGGTATATCTTGAGAATGCTCAAATTATTAACTCATTTATTCTAAAGTATCTAAGGTATGAACCAATCCAAAGGATACTGACAATATCATCTTCCAAGCTGTTTTAAGCTCTGATGCTGCCACATTATTTTTGTCTTGCATAGAGTTTGAGTCCATATCTGGTAATGTTTCCTGGCAGACCTTCCAAGGTCACCATGTTTCTGTTGATTGCTCCTACAGTTTAATACTCAAAGAAGAAAAATTCATTGTTTAACTAATAAACATGGACACCAGCAGCCAAATACTTTTGTATGAGAGTATTTATTGATTCTCACACCTTGGTATTGATCTTATTGTCACATATTTTACAATTTCCCCTGGCTATCCTCAACTGATGAAAGCTGTATTCTCAGCGTTGCTTGTAACCTCACAAACTTTTCTTTTGACGCTTGTCTATCGTTCTAAATTATGTGTGGAAACGTTGTCTCTGTTTCATCATATCCATTATCTAATTGATAAAACAATGAGCATTATGTGCTGTTCAGAATGTACTGTCAACATGCAAGAATCGATAAAGAAATGCTATACTTCAGGAAATGCATAGTTCAAATTAAGCTTAATATACAGGGAGTCCTCTAGACACATAATATGCTGCTTGCCAATCACTGTCACCAGGATTTTCTTTTTCCAGTTGAAAACCTTGGTACTAGCTACCGTGACTGTATTTATTGTTTGTTGTTCTCTGACTGTGCAGTTCTTTCTATGCATTAGTTTTCATTTCTGCTTGCATTTATATAATGGATGTTTTGCTTGTTGCCAAAATCCATATAGATTTTCTCTAAAGAGAGGAGTTCTGGTTGCATCAGCATTGTATCTTCACAGTTGCATTACTATTTTTTATATTATATAATTATCCACTAAAATGTGACAATTTTCAGATGAATCTCCTAAGCTGAAACATGACAGCCCTGGTCTTCTGTCTATGGCAATTGCGGATAGAGATGAACGCGGCTCTCTCTTCAGTATCACATTTAAGGCTGATCACCATCTTGATAGGTCTGTTTCAACTTTTATGGTCTAATGGGGCTTCCATCAACCTGTATTGAGTGCTTGTTAAAACTTTTAAATTGGAAAATCATCTCCTGTTTTCGTATAACGGTTCAATATTACAAATTGATTCTCTTGGTTTTGTTGGAATATATTCTGATTATGTCCATTTTTTTGGTATATCCTTTATTAATACTTTCTTGGACTGTAATTTCACAGAACTCATAGATTCTACATTCTTTTCTATGTCTGAAAGCAGGGTTTAATACATCAAAAAATAAACCAATTAATGGAAGTCATGCTGTCTTAAATTTTTGGTTTTGTTCATCCCAAATTGGTGTCTTAAATTTTTGGTTAGAATGTCTCTCATTAGTATCTACTTAGGGACAATAAATTTAAAGACGGAAAGGCCTGATGACACTAAGCTGGAATAGACCCAGTAGTATGCCCAAACATCTTGTAGAGGAAGTAATGGTATCTATGGGACTCGGAAAATGTTTTTCATTGCATCCCTCTTGATTGGTTGCTGGCTTTTGCTCAACAGGAAATCTGTTGTCTTTGGGAAACTTGTGGATGGTTATGAAGTGTTAAAAAAGATTGAAGGTGCAGGTGATGAAGATGGTAGACCGGCTGTGACTGTGAAGATAATCAATTCTGGTGAATTACATGATGGTAAGAATCCATACTGTTCCAAACTAATATTGACACATTCATCCTGTCATTTTCAATTTATGGCGATAAAATTACAAAGTAACTGATAGTAAGAGTGATTATATTGGGCAGTGGTGTGGTATGTTACAATATTTTTTCTTGTGGTCTCTGAATTGTGAAGTGAGTTAATGTATTCATGTTTTGCTTCTCTCACTTGTTGGTTTATTCTTTCTCATGGGTTTCTTGTCTGGTCATGCAGTCAAAAAGAAAGGGAGCAAGTTAAAAATGGGCAAGGATTCTATTGACGGTGATGGCAATGAAGTACGACGCAAGGGCAAGCACAAGAAATCTTCGAAGGACAGAAGGAAAAGGAGAAGATATTACACATCAGAATCAGATAGTTCATCTGATACTGATATAGAGTCTTCAGAATCTGATAGTGAGTCTGATTCATATGCTTCCTCATTAAGTGACAGTAGCTCTTCAAGTGACGACAGACGTAGGAAGAGGAAGAGATCTAAGAGAGATAAACATAAACGGAGAAAAAGAAAAGATAGACGACGTGAGAAACGACGCAAGAGACGTGATAAGAAAACAAAACACCGATCAAAAAGGTAGCAGTTACCATTAAGTGTTGTGCCCAAGTGTTATCATTCTTTTCACAGCTGTAGATATTCACTTCGGCCTCTCGCATAATTCACATGGCATGTTCACACGTGGTTCTTGATGTGTTCATGTGGGTGTCCTGGTGTGAACCTTATCTCATTGATTTATGAATTTACCTCCTGCAATGACTTGGTAGCATGGATTGCTGTGGTATCATCTTTTGTGACTGACTACTATCTCATTTCATGCTGGTATCTTATGTATCATATCACTGTGCATTGGAAATGTTTTTTTAAAAATTTTTTCTCTCCTTCATTTCCATTTTCCATTGGGCTTCTGGAATTGAATTTGTTGATGCTGAACCACAGAATAACACAGGAGAGAAAATGTTATAGCGTCCTCCATATTTTGCTAATTTAGTCTTGTGGAAAAATCCTGTAGGGATAGTCTTTCAGATAGTGAAAGTGAGAATACGAGTGGAAGCAGCTCTGAAGACAATGGTGCGGAGATTCATGAGTCAGATATGAAGCATAAAAGTCCGGGTAGGATGGTGCTCTATATTGTATGTGCTTATTACATTAATCATTTTGCTTCTGTTGATGTAATTCCTTGTTTGGCAATTTCCAGAAGTACATCCATCTCCTCTACGGGAGAACCAGGAAATTGCTACTGTTCATCACAGGAAAGGAGAGGTAACTGATATGTTCGAAAGGGAAGAGGGCGAATTTCCAAGGGAAAATGGAGACCACCGAATCAATGGTATTCAAGGGGAAACAAGATCGGACAAGAGTGCAGATAGACACCCTGATGTAGTAGATGATCGCCTGAGCAAATCTAGGTTTATATTCCATATCTTCTCACAACTCAGTTTTCTTTATTCTTACCAATTCTCCCAGATTTGGTATTTTATTAGAAGTTGATGAGCAGGAGCCGAAGCTTAAGTCCTAAAAGGACCATGAGTAAGAGTATGAGCATTAGTCCAAAGAGGAGTAAGGGAAGAAGTCCAAGTATTAGTGCAAGACGCAATATGAGCAGGAGTCCAAGTGCTAGCAGAAGCCCACAGCAGGTAGCTGAGAGAAGCAGAAGTAACAGTCCAATTAGAAGTGGAAGCAGCAGGAGCCCAGTACGAAGTCCAGTCAGGGGAAGAAAGGGAAGAAGCATCAGCGTGAGCCCCCCAGCAAGGTTTCAATCCCGACAAAGCCCCAGCAGAAGTCCAACAGCATCTCCTCCCAGAAGAAGAGTTACCCGGAGCCCACCTAGAACTTCATCAAGGAGGTCATCGTTTAGATCAGTTAGTCGCAGTCCTGTGAGATCTTCTCGAAGGAGTCTAAGCAGGAGCTCTGGTAAGCCTCCTCGAAGAAGTGCAAGCAGAAGCCCCGTTCGATCATCTCGGAGGAGTGTCAGCAGGAGCTCTGGCAGAGGTCCTCCTCGGAGAGGCCCTAGTCCAAGTCCAGTTAGGGCACCTAGCAGGAATAATCGCCGCAGCCATTCAAGAAGTCCTGTAAGTGCTGGTCGTAGGGCAAGGTCACCTGTTTCTGATCGTGGTAGGAGCTCATCAAGAAGTCCTCCCGTTGATGAATCACCCAAACGTATCAGAAGAGGGAGGGGTTTTAGCGATAGATACTCTTATGTACGTCGTTACAGGAGTCGCTCCCCAGACCGTTCTCCTGTAAGGTCATATCGTTATGGTGCTCGAAATGATCGAGACAGGTATTAAACATGCGTTTCTTTTCCCCCTCAAACGACCAGTAGAACATTGTCATATATTTACGTTTATTTTGTTCTGCATTCCTGGATGTACTGTTTGTTTTAATTCTCTCTTTTTAAAATTTATAGATACTCAAGTTACAGAAGATCTCCCAGGCGTTACAGGAGCCCGCCTAGAGGAAGAACTCCTCCAAGGTCAGTAATTGTGTGTGCAGTGCATTGCAATAACTAAAACTAGCTGATTTACTATAACTTTGTGGTCGTATGGTATCATCAAATTCAATGTGATATCTGTCCTCGAATCAAATGTAAGATCCCAATCTCGATTATTGATGAAGTTTCCTAATTTTAGCTGTGCACATCTACGTGTAATACGAACAATGTTTGAATGAAAGCATTTTCCTTTATATGGAGATAATGCCTATGTTGGACCATATTGAAATATAAAATGGGGATAATGCCTAGATGCATGTAGTTTGCTCGGATTATTATACGCTGATAAACCATGGTCTCTTGAAAATCTTGTTATTCTGCCTTCACGTGCATGCAGCTCTCTTAATTTAATTCACATTCCTGGTTCCTTCTGTTGCAGGTACAGAGGCAGAAGGAGCAGGACGCGCAGCCCAAGTGTATCTCGCAGTCCAATACGATATCGCAACCGGCGTTATAGCCGTAGTCCCATTCGCAGTCGGTCTCCTGTGGATAGATATCGTCCATCCCCGCGTTCTGAAAGGCGAAGGTCGCCTTCGGTTAGCAGGAGCCCATCTAAATCACGGTCACCGATTGGTTCACAATCTCCTAAACGAGGAAGCCAGGATAACTCAAGGTCATCCTCCGAGAGTACCCCTCGAAAGACGGGATTAGTTTCTTATGGAGATGGCTCTCCGGACTCTCATCGGGATTAAGAATATGTTCTGTTGGTGGTGTCTCATTTAGCTAGTATGCCCTTTCTTCAATCGGTGATTGATATGACTGAGATGCAGATGGCATAAGAGAGTTTGCTTATCGGTTGTTGGTGTGTTTTTGATATGTATGTCCGAATAATGTTGCATGCATTTTGGATTTGGATTACCTTTTCAAACTATTTTGGATTTTTAAGCCTTAAGATAATTTTATGTAGCTGTGTTATGTTTCCAATATTATATGTAGAAAATTTGGAGCTGGCTACACGGAAAAAATAAAAAAAAAAATTTAGAATATTTAATTAGTTTGAACATCTTACCTCATTATCGACTTTTAGTTTGCTCGTGACATTTATGAGCTAATTTGGATGAATATATGGAAAACATATTACACTCTTCATTGTGTTGTTTTCCTAAACTTCTGATAGTTAACAAGTTTTGCCTTTAATTTCGAATTTCGTAATGCTTGGCATTTGTGGTTCATCTTTTGAATTATTGAAACACGGTCTTCCGTTTTAAATTGTATCATTCCATTATCATATTCTATGTTTTTGTATATAGGAACTGTTATATGTTGGCTGTTTCCATATATTATCTGGCGATTTGACAGAATTAATAAAAATTATTCGTATTCTCTGCATGGGCTGAGATAACAAAGGAATTTTTCTGCCCAAATCTTTTGGACGGATGGTTCATGGTAGTTGTCATTGTTTTCTACACAGCTTTGTAAACATTGGTACCATCGATAAGCTCGTCCATCAACTGTAGTAAATCAGTGATCTTTGTTTTAAAAACTGTCCAATTATTTCATCTAAAACATTTAAGTTATTGAGAATGGATAAATTTATATATTTAATTGTTTTTTAACACGTGTTCTCACGTTGAGGTGGTTTGATAGTTTACTCTTTTTCATAAACAAGTGTAGTGAGACTTGAATTTAGAACTTCTACAGGTTCTTGTAATATATTGAACACGTTTTGATCGGACAAGCTCATTTATTAGAAGTATGATTGTCTAAGCTACATTTTTCAAAAAGGTATCGTTCTCGTTGAGTCAAAATAAGGAATTATTTTTAAACTTTATTACCCTCAAACCCATTATTTTATTTTAAAAATTACTTATTTTTACTTATTAACTTTTTAAGCATAGCCAGACAGACATGACAAACCATGCGCATATATTTCACCTGATATCAGCAGCTCTCCCCTTTCCTAAACAACTGAGACCGTGAAACAATGTCTATTCAACTTCGTGAAACCATTCTTGAATGTCTTGCAGAAGCTCAATCTGACTTAAATGAGAAGAAGCAAAAATCCCTGCAAACCTTGGCCACAATCACAAAGGTCAGCCCACAAAACAGGAATTTGCTGGCACAAACAAATGGTGCAATCCCTGCACTTCTCCAACTATCCAAGTCATCCTTCCCAAATATCCATATTCTTGCACTATCTATACTCTTCAACCTGTCCCTTAACCCGAATATTAAACGCTCTCTAGCAGACATGGATATTATTTTCTACCTCAATTCTGTAATTCTGTCCCCCAGCTCGACCGAAATCAGCAAACTAGCAGCCTCTTTGCTGTGCAGCCTGGCAATGTTGGACAAGAACAAGGCCAAGTTTGGTGTCGCTGGTAATGTTAAAGATTACGGAAAATTAGTTAGTTATTTTGTTATTAAGCTAAGTTCTAAAAATAAGTATTTTTTTTTTTTTGAACTTAGAAGTTTGAAAAAATTCGTACATGTTTGAAAACAACTTGTACTTATTTAACACTTAAGCCAACAATTTGTCAGATTATGAAAATCTTTCTATATCTTTAACAGGTACCATTCAGGTTCTGGTGAAAGCAATTTCTCGACCCAAAAATCCTGCGGCTCATCACCTGCTCAGCACATTGGCCGAGCTCGTGCTGTTTCATGGGAATTGTACGGTGGCAGTTCAGTCAGGAGCAGTTCCCGTGCTGGTCCAAGTGGTGGAAAGCACTGAGGGCGAGGATCTTGCTGGAACTTCCTTGACAATCCTAGGATTACTCGCCAGATTCGATGAAGGATTAACTGCTTTAAGGAAAACGGACGAAATAGTAAGAAAAATGCTGGAAGTTTTAAAAGGGAGGAGCATGTTGAGTAAGGAGGGGGCTGCAGAAATTCTTCTGCGGTTGTTTGATGACAGTGAAGGGTACCTGAGAGATGCTTTAATGCTGCCGGAATTTTCTTCTGTGCTGGCAGATATTTCAGTGAGAGGCTCGGGAAAGGCTCGAGAAAAGGCTGGTTTACTGATGAAAAAGCTCATGGAAGCTAGCTTTAATTCGACTACCGATGGAGTTTCTGGTTTTCTCCAATGGTAATCTGATTTTCATATTTTGACGGGCTAAGCCCTAACCCTATATTTTGTTTGGAAATAAGCTCTTCGTACTGCTGAAAAAGCCAAAGGAAGCGACTTCCTCTGGCGTTTAAGCAAACCCAATCACGCTCTACGCTTGTTTCCTTAGCTCACACAATGCCTTCGCTAGTTTGACACACAATAAACTTCAATGAATAATGCTATTTAATGATGCCGTTTTTCATTACTACTAAGCCATGTTGAAACTTTAGTCTTTACAAAATTAGAAAAGCTAATTGCTTAATTGCCAAGATCCTCCATATCAAATTAACAAGAAAATTAATAGTGCGTGTTAGGATTGATACCATTTGTTGTGACGTCAATCACCG